AGCTACTGCCCCTTTTTTTCACTTTCGCTAGGAGCTTACTTTACTCGGTATTCTTCACTCTTCCTAAGTGATATGTATGTATGTGCGTGTGTGTGTGTGTGTGTGTGTGTGCCGAGGGGTGAACTATCGCACAAGTACTGATTGTTGAGTCCTTCCAGTCACCATTGACATCCGGTTAGCTTTGTTTTTGTCCCAAAATTCACTCTCATCTCGGCTTGACTGGACTGTCTTTTCAACCTGGCCTGTGCTAATCTCATCAGCAGCTCGAGCGGGACTCGAGCCCAGCTCGTGAATGTCTGAACTACGTTTCGACTCAGCTTCACAATCAAAAGGCCTGTCAACGGGCCTGCCTGCCACTTAGGCACACATGTTTTCCTAAGTTAACTTTATCATGCTACTTATTTCTGATTAAAATAGTATTATAAAATATTGCTAAATTTTGACTAAGCCTCCTATTTGACCTGGATTAGTCGCGATGGCATTGCATTTGGTAGAATCTTGTCTCTGAAAAAACCATCCAATCCCGTTCAGGCTGTCAACGAGTGGTCCGAACTTTCGAGTCAAGAAAACTGGTTGACTCGTCAGCTCGAATTGGGTCGTAAGGATGATGTTCTGCTCTGATGATGTTCGTCATACAACGGGCGAAAGGTTAGCACGCTTTCACCAAAACACTTTCACTCAACAATTGAGAAGAAAGTAGCCGAAAGTGTGCCAAACAAAGAAAGGCAATGATAAGAAAAGTAAGTTAAATTAAATTAAATTAAATTAAATTAACTTAACTTAACTTAAATGAAAATAAATTAAATTGAATGTTTGCAAAAATAAAAACGCGGAGACCGCCTCGTGAATTAATTGGGACTTGGGGTGGCTTTAAAGTCCAACTCGTCTGTCGTGCTCCAACCGGCCAGGTAGTTGTGCACACGCTGTTGGTAGAGCGTGAGGAAGCCGGCCACGGTTACCATCACCTCCTCTTCGACCTGTTTCACCAGACCCTGCTCTCGCGTCTGGCAGAGATGACGTGTCAACGGAAGCCACATCAAGAAGCTGACCGCCAGCTGATTGGCCGTCATGCCGGGCCGGTCGAGTCGAGGCCCGCCCGGCGAGCTGGTCTCCTTTCTCGCCTCGCCCTTCTCATCGCCCTCGTTACCGTCCTTCT